GGAGGAGGAGGAGGAGGAGGAAAAGCCCCTCAAATTCACAAAAATACTTTTTACTGAAAATTAGAAAGTTCTAATCAATTAGGCTAAAATAGTAAAAGTTGAGCAGTCCTTCAATATCTGACACAGGGTTTGTAGCAACTTTCAGGCAATGGATAATGGAGGCAAAAGAGAGGAAAATGAATATATACAGTATATATATGTGTGTATATATATATATATATATATACCAATTGAGTGATAGATAGATAGATAATGCTATCATTCCATTGGTTTATAGCTAATATAGCCCTTAAAAATTATACATTATACACATCCAATTCCACCAAATTGTTGGTAAATATAAAAATTCACAGTGTTCAAATTAGTTTCCCTAACCTGTGGACTTTAAGGCTAAGTGGATTTTTTTCTCCTCCCTCCAGCTACTTTATTTAGGAAGGAAGTGCAATTTAGATGATTTATTTTCCTAATCTTATTTTCTCTGTGTTCTCTGGCTACAGTGAGAACACTCTTGCAACATTATTTTTAGTATCTATTTCAGTCATAACTTCAATTATATATGCAAACTTAAATTGGGACATGAATGAATTAGGAACCAGCATGTGGTTGTTATCCTTTAGTTCCACTTTAAAAATGTCTATATTATCTTGTATAAAACAAGAAACAGCAGAACCAAATCTTACTTGACTCAGCAAAAAATACGGCAGGTGCTAATTACAATGAGCAAGTGCTAATTACAATGGAAGTCTTACTGTCTTACTGAAAAGGGAGATTCCCAGATTCTGTGTACTTCAGACCCTTGGGAGACAAAAGCTCTCATGGAAAAGTGTTCTTTGAGAAGTAGTGTTTGGCAGAGAGCAAAGCTGCTGACAATATGGTGTCAGAAAAACACTGACATTCAGACACAAAACAGGAGTTTTCCTATTAAATATCTGTTAAGAGATCATAACTCTTGTGCTCTGTATAGTCACTGGAATGGAACAAGCTAGATCACAAACAACTTTTCATTAATCTTTTTGACCCTTTCACTGAGAAGTTATTTTATGAGTCAAGATTTAGCGACTGGAGTAGTTATTGAATACTCAACAAAAGGCTGCCAGATAGAGTCACACCAGAAGTCCCCAGGTCTGTTCTCTCTCTGCCTCGCCCTGCCACTACACATCAAAAAGAGTGTTTCTCTCCATGCAGATACAAGTGATGGAGGTACTCTAATTTCTTGGCTTATAGCGGTAGCTTTTTTCCATTTCAAGTTCAGTAATTCAATTTACTCATTAAATTCAAGAGCATTAAATGCAATCGGACTCAGTCAGGTAAAATATAGACAGTTTCAGGTCTTCAGATTTCTTGTTGTGCCTTTTCTTTCTCCTCAGACAGGTTCCTTACCTATAGTTCCTTTATCATCATGGAAAATTAATCACATTTCTGCTTCGAGAACAATAGCAAAGTGGCATTCCCTCCTCCCTTGACTGTCATCATGTCAGCCCTGTTACAAAGTCACGTGGTGACTTTATTTCATTTGATTCCTTTAAGGCACCCTTCTCTGTTATAATAGCATGGTAGTTACGATCACCAAACTACATTGTAATTAGAATAATATTGTATGGCTGTGCGGTGCTTTTCATAGCATAAAAATGCTACTTTGAATTATATACTGCTCAAAGCCCTTTACAAATAAAAATAATTAACCCTTTTTAAGAACCCTGCCTGAAGTAGGCTGAAACAAATAATGAAATCATCTCTCCGCTTTTATTAATTCCCTTCAGCTCCTCATTAGAGGGAACACTTTAAAGTTGCTCAGAGCATTAACCCCTAGCCTCCTTCAGTGTCTTTTCAAGGTACTCAATGGGAAGATGGGGCCATCTTACATTTTGACCTCATATTTTAATATTCGGCATCATTTTTGTCAGTTAGTTAAAGATTGGCATGCCTCAGGAAACCAGTGATGGAGTGCTGGCGGAGGTTGGGGGTGGGGGTGGGGTGCTTCCTTTAAACTTGTGATTTAATAGAATGCACTATAGCCGTGGCTGTCACAGAAGAGCATCAGCATCACCTGAACACAAACCACAAGCACACCTACTGCCGCCCAATGGACTCTGATTCACAGCACGCTTAGTGGACCGAACAGAACTGCCTGGCTCCTGGAAATCAAGTTCGGAGCGACTGCAGGGCCCATCTCCAGAGGGCTGAGCTGGTGCCTGAGAAGCTGCCTTTGCAACAGTGACCCCGGTAATGGAGAGAATGCTCTCTCAGGAGCCATTCTTTGTGAATCACTGAACCAGTAGCATGACTTTCTGAAACAATGAGAAGTGAGTTTTACATCGCTATCTGGTATCTTAGCTATTAAGTGTTTGTTGTTCCCCAATTCATTTCAAGGAAGGAAGGTTCCTTTTTCCCCTTTTGAAATACAGTGAAGACAGAATTTAGTGGATTCACTAGGCAAATTGACTCAATTAGTTGGTTCATTTTTTCTAAACAAAGAATTTGAAATGCCAGAAGGAAGATTCACCTCACCAAGGTGAACAGCAAGCTTCCTCTCTTGATTTCATCAACTACACTGAATAATTGAAAAAGAAACTCAGACACATTTACCTTTCCTCAGGCAATGAATGCCCTTATTTTTAAAGACCTGCTTGATTCTGCACTCTAGAACCAGTGATGTTGGCTGTTAGCGAAATTACCTTGTGTGCGCACAGGGTCTGACATGGGACTGGGATCACTGAGACCTTGGGGGTTGATGGCTCTGACCATGAATAAGTAGATTGTATTGGGCCGAAGTCCTCGGACTGTGTACAGGGTGGTCTTTACATGGTTTGCCACCGTCTGCCAGCTGTTGCTTACTGATTGGCTGAAACAGGAACAGAAATGTCATTTAGAGACCAGACGTAAAAGTAGGAAATACAGAGTTGGATATTTATGGCAAGGCTTAATGGCTGAAAATTAAACACACAGACACGCAACACGCTTGGAGTGCTCAGCCCAATAAATGAAACGTTTGGATGGTTTCAATTTACTCAACAACAAAGCAAAGCCCACCTAACAGTGTGCCATGCACAACAAAATTAAACTCTGTGAAGGAGATGAGACAGCGCTTTGCTAATAATGCAGAGCAGCCCACTAAATAAATACCTGTAAAAGGAACAGAGGTCAAGGTCTCAACATCAAGTTCATAAAATAAATAGGGTCCGTATGAATGTATTTCTATAGATATATATATATACACACATATATATACCTTGAAAAGAATTAACCTGCAGAAAGAATAAATGGACTACAGAGTAAATTATGCCAATACATTTTTTCTGTTAAAAGGTTTGTTTTCTTTTGCATCAATTCCACATGCAATATCATAATAGAGCCTTCCAAAACTACATATCTGTAAAAGAAGAAAGGAAGCATGTGGTGAGTATTTTCCCTCAGCCACATTTTTAATAAAATTGAACATTACACAGTATTGTGATTTCTCATCTGCGAATGGTAACGTGTCCCTCTCTGCATGTGTGCAGCGCATTTTCTCACCACACACACACACACACACACACACACACACACACACACACACGGGACACCATGTCAGAGCGCTTTGTCTAAGGTCAGATGCCTCTTTTGCTTAAAATGAGAGGAAAATGCGATTTCTGTGGCTGTTTATTTTTTTCAGGAGTCCTTCAGCATTGAAGCGTGGAATTTTCAGGAAAATACTACTGTGAAATCAGGAAACAATGTCCCTGTCATCACCTTACGTACAGATTCAAGGCAGCCTGAAATGAAAGTGGTCATTGCTCTAGTGTCGGGAAAGAAGGCCAGCGGTTATCATCTCGTCTTTAAAATGTCAACTCATAGGACACTGAAACCAACCTGAAAGCTACAATTCAGTCTGCAGAAAATTATGATATTGACAATGCTTATTTCAAATAACATATGGAGACATCTTTTTCTTCCAACAACCCGAAGTACACAGAATCAATTTCTCAATTGTGGCTTTTACTCTTCTCTCATACATCCTCCATAGATGCATTCAAATATACAGAATAAAAAAATTGAAATCATTTTAAGTGCTGCTCTAATTATTAAGAACAAAGATTCCAAAGTCCCATGCCTCAATATACTTTGCATAACTTAAAGGTGCCTCTGCCTAATTAAATCTTTTTTTGCCTCGACCTGATGTCAAAATCCTCATCCCAAACCCCTACAGGGTTCAGAGTAAAGAAGAGAGTGAAGCAACAACGTCATGCAGTAGGTTCCTATAGATCTGCTATAGCCATTGTTCGGTTTTCAGTGCATCGTGACCAGATATTAAGGTTGCCACAATGGCAAATCTTTATGGGAGCAAACAGCCTCATCTTCTCTCACTGAGCACATGGTAGGTTTTCACCCCTGCCCTTGTTGCTAGGAGCCCAACACATAAACCACAGAGCCACAAAGGCTTTCCTACAGTTCTCACTCACTGCCCTCAAGTTAGTGCCAACTGATAGTGACCTTACAGAACAGGGTAGAACTAACTGTCCCTGTTGTTTTCTCAAACTTTATCTCTTGATAGAAGTAGAGAGTCACATCTTTCTCCTATGGGACAACTGGGAGATGACATTTGCTTTTGGCTGGTAGCCCAGGGAGGAGCCCACTGCATCGCCCTGGCCCTATGGTCCGAGGCATGGGTCATTGTGCTATGAAGGAAGAAAACAGCAGACGGTTCTCTTCGATAAAGAACCAGTAGGAAAGATTAACTCTCAAACCAAATTTATTGAACATGTCCACGAAATAAATCAGCAGGGAAGTTCATATGAGATTTTAAAATGTAAGCATTAAAGAAGAAGAAAAAAAAACCCTTGAAGGAAAAAAAAAAAAAGGGAAATGCCCCATACCTGAAGGCTTCAATGATATATGCACTCGCTGGAAGAGTCCCAGGGGTACCTGGTTGCCAGGACAAGGTGACACTGTTCTTAGTAACATCAGTGACCTGTGGTTTAGATGGAGGCCCTGGCAGGTCCTTTAAATCATAATTTTTGCTGATAGTTGCTCCAGACTCTATAGAGGACAAACAAAAAGATTATAATAATGACTTCATTCCTGATGCTGTAAGCTGAAAACGCTGCTTACAAAGAGAGAGGGGAAGAAAAAGAGAAAGTTTCTACTAAAGGAGTTGATGTAAACCGAGAGCAATTCATCTTCATTTTGCATCAGAAAGGCATAAGTGAAAATTCACTCTTACATGCTAATAAATGTTGACTTAACTTTCACACATGATCACTAGAATTGCTTGCACAGTGGAGGAGTAAGAAAAGAAAAAACAAGGTTATCAAGGACATGTTTATCAAATTGGTGCAGTGTTGTATGCTAAATGATGCAGGAATTTAAAACTGAACTAAGATTGAGTTTTTGTGTTCAATTAAGTTAAAAGCTTGATCTCTCCTTCACTTGGGCATTGATAAATCAGCTCAGAGTTTCTGGTGTTCAGATCATCCACAAAGACCTCACCTGTCACATCCAGCACAGCGCTCCATGAGGTCTCACCACTTGAACTTGTAGCCACACAGGTATATGTGCCAGTATCGGAAATCTGGTGCACAAAGGGGTAAGAATGTAATGGTTTTAATCATGTTTGTTAAATGATTATTTGATCTTAAACAGACAGTATTTCATTCCCAGAAATATATCATTTGGTTTTCCAAACGGTACATTAGAGTCCTTAAAATGCATGGAATATTAAAATAGATTGATCTACTGCTTTCTTATTTATAACAGAGATTCAAACTCTGTCTATATATTGCAGCTATCTTTTGACAAAAAGTATCTATCGAGTACCTATCTTGCTCTCTTGCTGCCACAGTAATAATATTCCTCTCTTGACTTTATGGTACAGTGTCTCTTTGTCAGAACTCGATAATGGACAGTTGGGGACAGGATTTCTTTGGCATATCCTAATCATACAACAATTAAGCCATATGCAAAGCTGTGCTTTCTTTTTTAAAGAAACTAGATTTCAAGAGACAAAAAGTAGTCTGGGGAAATAAGCCATGAGTGGAAAAAAGAAAAACAAACAAAACAAGAAAAACAAACTTTAGAAATGAGTTGACATGGTTGGGTTTTTATATATATATAATATATATAAAATATATATATATAAATATAAATATTGCAATATAGAAGCCATTTTCTCTCTTAAAAAAACAAACAAACATAAAATCAAAATGGAATCTTTCCATTTAAGATCAGGATTCACTCAATTTAAATGATAGCAGTTGGGGAATGAACAAACAAAATTGTATCATTAACCGCCAAACAAGCCTTGTCTACATGGAATCTCTACAAATGGCAGCTAAAAGGATTCACAGAGATAACTTAAGCTATAATTATTTTTAGACTTAGGCCAAACTTGCCATATCTTTGTTAAACTATTTGTTGTCAAGGAAGACTAGAAATAGACTTTTAGAAAGAGTTGATAGTATAGGCAAGATTTCTCTTTTGAGAATAAAAATTCAGAGTCAGTAAAGGTACTTCAATGAAAGCCCAAGATTAAGAAAGGGTATAACTTCAAACCCTTCCGGGCCTGACCTCTGTGAGCTTACAGGGCAAAGGATATGCGTGTGCATTCTGTTGGCTTGGAGCAAAGGGACAGGGAACTGGGAATAAATACTGATGGTCAAGTAGAACACCACAAGTCACAAGATGTAGTATGAAAATTCTATAAAGGACATGGGTAATTCTTAATGAAAAATGGGAGCTTGTGACATATATTATCTGCTGGGTTCCAAATATAAAAGTATGGATGACTCCCGCTTCTACAATTGATTCTCAGGTAAATCATTAGTGCACAGATGTTACTGCAGCTGCACCATTTTAATTGATTTTAAATGCCATTATATATTTTAACTTAACTTTCAAATTGCTCTGGCATGTCATTCTTTACCATATTATCTCTGTGCAATCGTCTTCTATTCTACAGAGCAAGGATGGGGGTAGTCACTGTAGAAAGAACCATTCTTTCAAATGGGGCTGTGCACCCATTACAGTCATTAGAAATCTTTGCATTTAAGAAGCATCACTCACAAACTAAATATAATGAGCTGAGGTTGGATTTTAATGGGATATTCATTTGAATATGGTCTGCAAGAGGGAAAGAATTTGCATTTTATTATAGCTGTTGAACAAAAAAATGTAGCACTTGTTATTACGTGCAAATGCAACGAGAAGAGTGTAGGTAATGTTTCTTAACTGCATCTCCTTGTCATTGTGTGGCGATACAAGTCTGACATTAGCCGTGGTCGGTATAGTTTAATGAGGGTTGAAAAATTCTACTTCTCGAAAGATCCAGATTCAGTTACCAATTAGCTGGACGAGAAGGACACAATGTTCATCTTTTTTCTTTGCTTGTATTAAAAACCAAAAAGAAAAAAAATACAATAAAAAAGAGCGAGCACAAAGGTATATGGCCTATAGAAATTCTCTCTTGACTGCCCAAGTGAAATACTGTAAAGCACATTTTTATCTCCCTTTCCATACAGACATCTTGCAGCAAAAAAAAAGAAAAAAACCCAAGAAGAAGAAGAACATTTTCATTTGGAGTTTATCAAAAGTGTTATCAAGAGCCTAAATATCATTACTAAAACTCCTTCTTGGATCTCTATCATCGTCACTACATTATTTTTTATCCCTTAAACTTTAAATAATGTCTTCCGTTGTCATGGGAGGGGGTCTTACATCTTTTCCGTGCCTATACTTTCATCTTTAAACAAGGGCTTTAAAACAAGATATATATCCCCATACTTTCCATCACTGACTTTTCTCCTGGTGGAGTGGGTTACAGATGACCCCCCTGGAGTTTGCCTCTCAGAGAGACCACTCAGAAACATGTCAGAGGGCTCAGAGTTTGCTTGAGCTCCTCCAACAACCACCTTTAATTGCTTCTTTCAAACACGACTGGGCCGTATGACAATTCAAGCACGGCCTTTCGTTCTGTGGTACAGTGAAAATGCATTAACCTCCCTGGCCCAAGCCTGCCACTAGCCCAGAGAGAGAGGTTTAAAGTGTTTACGCAAGGAGACTTGGCATTAATTTTTTAATAACTTCCATTTTGTTCAAGGAAGGTTAACAATTAATTTACGATCAATGATATTACAGGCTAAAAAATCTGTGCTAATTTATTTTCTTTTATTTGGACTTGACAGCATTGGTTTCATATTAGAGCAATAATTAATGCCTTTGTCTCAAAATGAAATGTGTGTGTGTGTGTGTGTGTACACATATGAAATTTTGTAGGTCGCAAAAATAGTCATTCCAGTGGACAGATATATCCATATGATACAGTGATAAAGCAACCAGATAAACATGTAAACATAGTTATGACCTAAGGGAAGACTATTACAAAGTGTGACCATTTGGAAATATACATATGCAATAACATTTTAATTTAATTTTCTCATTTTACGAATGGGAAAATTCCACTCCTTGGGTTATTTTGCTATTGTTTTATTTTTTAAATTCATCTTAGTTCTTACTTTCTACCTTCATTTGACATTCTACTAAGTATTCTCTCATTTGATATTTTTCCATCTATTTTTCTTCATTCAATATCACATCAATTGTTTAGTTGTCCAGCATTAGCACAGCAGCGGTTCTCAACCTGTGGGTTGCGACTCCTGCGGGGGTCGAATGACCCTTTCACAGGAATCACCCGATGCATAACAGTAGCAAAATCACAGTTATGAAGTAGCAATGAAAAACATTTTACAGTTAGGGGGTCACCACAACATGAAGAACTGTACTAAAGGGTCACGGCATTAAGAAGATTGAGAACCACTGGCCTAGAGCTTACTACAAGGTGAGCTCACTGTATTTAGTCAATTGGATACACTGACCCCTCACAACACCTTCCTAGTGTTCTCATGTTGTGCTATCCTTCACTCCGACCATGGGCAAGACCTGTTACTTGCACCGACCTCTAACATTCACCGACAGAGTGATAGCATGCCATTTTAATTTGATCTTGCAAAGAGAGAGACTGTCTGCCTTACAGACTTTAAGGAAACAAGGGGTCAATGTTCACATGGCAGAGACTACAGGCTATCTCTGGCCACCAGACAGTCATAGGACATTAATTAGAAAAGCATTGGTCTCCGATGAGACAAGAACACTGATTGACATGCGCTCCTAGTCGATGGAGCCCCTGAAGCAGAGGACCCAGTTAAGTCAACTCCAGAAACCAGAACCTTGGGAAATCTGAGACAAAAAAATATGAATGCTTTTTGTACTTCAAAGTATTTTCTAAAATGTTATATATTAACATGAGAGTAAATAAAATAATGTTGCTATGAAATTATAGAAACATTTGTTAAACAAAATATCAAACCGCGTGGGTATTACTTCTTACATATATTAAATCTAGGTCTCTATGCTTTATGAAAAAATTTCTATCTCTCTAAATCTTCCCCTGAAGATTTCTGGGCTCTTGTATTGACACCACATCAAAATAGAAGTTTGGGCATCTTTCAGGGATTCAAATACTATTCCTTTTACATAGTACGTGGGGAACTAATAGGATTTTGAAGTGGCAAGATCAGGTAAGTGGGATAGAGAGAGTAAAAATCCCAACGGATTTGTCGTCAGACCCACTTACTACCGTTAAGAATAAGCAGGCACATTGTTGTCATGACACAGTATTCTTGGTCTTTTTCCCATCAATGCATTTTTCAATTGTCTTGCAACTTCCTCACAATAAGTCTCTGTGATTACCCTGCGTCCTCTGAGCAACTCCATCGAGATTGGTTTTGAGAATCCTTATAAACAATCACCGTAACCTCCTGAACTACTCTCTCAGCCTTGACTTGAACTTGCCCAACAGGTCCCTCAGAAGCTACTCTTGTGATTGGGTCTACTTTTGGTAGGCACCTTAACAAGACAAATATCAGTGTATTACTAAGAGAACCTGTCTGCAGCCACCCACTGATGACAGATTCATGTTTAAACACATTTGGTTTGGAATAAACCTGTACAAGTATGGCCTGGAACCCTAGTAGGGATTTTAATTTTTAAAAACTTATCCTTGTATAGAAGTAATACCATACTCAAAACAAGACTATTTCTTTTAAGTGGCTCATGAAACCAATTCAACTTTTGCAATATTACCATGAATGGTCATTCTTCATCACAGACTCTTGTAATAAAAGGCCAGGATGGCTTGCTTTTGCCTATGTGTTTAAACTTAAAACCCACATAAATTTAAACTAAACTTTAAAGTTTCCTGTTAACTAACCGAATAATCAATAATCAATAATCCTAGGTAATCAATCTCATTTATTTTCTTTAATTTTTCCACACAACTCTTTGGTCATCTCAATTTATTCATATTTACCTGCATGTATCTTGCTTTTTCAAGCACTTTTGTTTATGACAGAAACAGTTATCAATTTCAAATAACTTCAAATAGTACATTATTATTAAATATATTAAATAAGTAAAATCAATTTCATTGATTGTACACACATGAACTGGAATGAAGAAGCAAAGGGTGTCTTGGCCAGCAAGAATTTATGAGCAACATAAGGCCCCTCACTTTCCCTTTGATTTTAATTCATCATGTGTAAAATAAGAAATAGCGCAGCCTACAATAAACTTGAAGGCAATTACAGTGGGATATAAGATTTTAAGTTCACCAGACAGTTTTCCCCTGGGGCAGTACTGACACTGAAATGAAAACCCAAACACACATCAAATGTAACTTACCCGCAAATTCTTAATCTGCAGTGTCCCTTGCTCTTGGATGGTTGCTCTTGGGTCTCTAAGCAAGAAAGTGAATCCTTCCTTTAGCCAGCTGATTACAGGCAGAGGATCACCGGTAGCTTTACATTTCAGTAATGCTGTACCATCGACTGCTAGTGTTTGGTTCGCTGGACCTTGCAGAATGATGGGTGGAGGTCTATCTGTCAAAACTAAAGGATGAAGATACTTTCAGGGTACATTCACACCTATGAAATGCAAGAGTATTGGTATCTTGATTTAAAAGTAACACTGGTTTTCAAATCCATGCTTAAAAGTAGTTATAACATATTACTTTTTGGTTCTGCTTCATTTTGAATCCTTCAATAGCATGCATTGATGTAGTTACACTGTAGTGGTGAAAATCATTGTTAGAAGACGTCTAACGAGGACCCTCCATAGAATTCACAACAGCAAGACTTGATCTCACTACTTTGGGCCATGTCATTAGGAATGATCCGTTACTATAGGAGAGCATTGTGTTCTTAAGCAAAACTCGTCCCAGTCTTGAGTCATCTTCACGATTGTTATATTTTAGCCCCACGTTGCAGCTACTCTGTAAACCCATGTCTTCAAGGTCATCCTCTTTCTCATGGAGCTCAACTTCACTGAGAACAATGCGCTTCTCCGGAGAATAGCTTTCCTGCCCAAAAGAGCATCTTGCCATCTTCACTTCAAGGGGCATTTCTGCTGTTATTCTTCCAACAGAGTTATTCCTTTTGCTGGCAGTTCTTGCTAATGTCGATGGTAAAGTCGATAGTAAAAACGAGGGTGAATGAAAAGTAAGGCCTCCCTTGGGGGATCCACTGCACAGTGGTGGTGGCCAGGCACTCACACACACCAGCCATCATGCTGCTGGTCCTGGACCAGATGAGATTTTGTTCTGTTGTGCAGAAGGTCTTCCGTGACAATACAATGACAACTAACAACATTAAGCACCGCGTGTATACTATACTAAATCCACATATTCTGTTTATAATTTCCTTTGCATTAAGTATAATGAAGGTATAAGCCAAACCCACTGTCTTCATGTCCATTCCAACTCATCGAGACCCTGTATAGAGTTTCTGTAGGAGAAGATAGCCTCATCTTTCTCCTCTGGAGTGACTGGTAGGTCTTGGCCAAGTACATTAACCAAAGTCCAAGTTAGTTACTTGGTCAAGTAAGTTAGTTACGTGTTCAAGTAAGTTAACCAAAGTCTAATGCTTACACAACACCTCCAATGCCCCTATAATTAATATATATAGGCATGTGTGTATATACACATACATACATATATATATATGAAAAGAGAGAGCATTTAAATATTACAGCTTATAAAACCCTTTGGGGCAGTTTTACTTCACATGTGGGGTCATTATGAGTCAAAATAATTTGATGATACTAAAAATATAATTAAGATAGTGGCAGAATAGATTCTGATATTTTAGAATGGTTATATTTAAATGAAAATTCAGATAGCTGAGAGCAGTTATGCATAAAATGTCCATTTTATTCCTTGTATACCTGCTTAAGATAGCTTATGAAGCAATCAATATAAGGGAAGAATCACATTTCATAGTTGCTTTTATTGTAAATATATGTTCAACAAATTATTTTGACTTTCAAATTCCATATGTACACTACCTTTATATTGGTTAAAATGGCTCTGTTAACCTTACAATATCAGATTTAGGTAACAGCTTTTTGAAAAATCATAACATTTTGTCTTTAAATATCACTTGACTGATTCAATTTAACTCATGGTTGAAATTAAGGAAAAATAGCAGTCTTGTTACACCATATTTGTGATATAAAAAAAATAACAAACCCTTAATGCAAAATTTTAGTACATATAGATGTACCCATTCCTGTAGTCACGTGGGGTAAACGTTCCACAATTCCTTAAATGTTTAGACTGGTGTTTTTGTTATTATTGTTTACTGCATCTTGTTTTATAGTAGTTACTTCTATGAATTATTTAACAATGTCTTAGGATATACCCCTCAGATGTGTTTTGAATGTAAACTATTTAAATCTTACTTCCTAATAATTCTTTCCACTGTCCAAGTAATTGGTCTGATATGGTCTTGATATCATGGGGGCTTTCTCCAAAAGTTTAGCTCCAAGATTATTTCAACAACATTCAAAACATTTTTAGCACCTAGAAGGTACAGTCATGAAGATTTTCCAGACCTATTCAAACAACTCCCAAGATTGGCTTAAGCCATTTCAAAGCTTCAGCTCATAGTGTCTGCGGACAACTTAGTCCAGTGACAGAAGATACTTCCTGAAGGTAATCTTTGCAACTGTCACTTTGGTGAGGAGTGTTTGGGGTCTTAAAAGGTCACAAGCGAGCAGCTAAGATACAACTCTTGGTCTCTATTCATCTGCAGCAGATGAGAATAAAAAAAACAGATGGAAAATATTAATCAGCTGGACTATGGGCTCTTCCAATCTGACCCCAGAAGAACTAGACGGTGCGGGGGTACCACCACCAGCCAGTTCTCATCAGGAACATACTAGAAGATTCTGAATAGAATGGGAGAAAAAAGTAGAACAAAATACTAATTAAAAGGTCACACCAAATGGGCTGACAGAGACTAGAGAAGTCCCTGACTTTTACCCAAATATATCCTTTGCACTTAACCCTGAAGTTACTCATAAAGGTCCCCTATCAATAGATTAGCTGATATATACAAGATATA